TTGGTTAGCTGCAGTACTGCCCCAGGATCCAGCCCTTCATTGGAAATGCACATTTAAGTAGTCAGATGGTTGTTTCCCCCGCTGCAGTTGCCAGGCATCGGCTGCTCAGATAACTCAAGAGCAGCACCCAGGCTGCGTGCAACGCTTTACTTCATTTTTTTAGTGCTTCTAATGAAATAACTGGTCAGAAGTGATGTCTGATTTGGATAATGGAGGGCACGGGAAAAATAACTCTTGTAGCCTTTCAGGGAAGGCTGGTCAGCCTGATCCTTTGGGTTTGCTGTTGTCTTGGTTGGAGGAGGCAGAGATAAGAAGGACAAACGGAGATGGCGGTCAGCCCCAGGGGAGCGTGTTGCCTGCTGGTCCCTCGGCCACGGTGCTTCTCCCCGTATTCACCAGCAGCTTTTTCCTGGATGGTTCAGTGAGAAGGACCCAGCCACGAGAGCGAGGACAGGAGCGTGGCTTGCCAGCCTCTGGGGCCATCCTTTTAGGGGTGATTCTGCCTCGGCCCCTCTAATTGCAGAAGATGCTGCAGGGTCATCACTCAGCTGGGGACTGAGATGTAGCCCGGAGCACCACGAAGGCCATCGCTTTGCTCGTGGGATGAAATAGGGCTTTTTCTTCCCTTTTAGTCTTAGGCATCGCATTTTCCCTTTCAGTGCTTCTAGAACTGTACTAATTATTAATAATTAAGCTGACGAGGCAAAACTTGGTTTCCTTCCATTGCATCTAGAGTAAGCCAAGAAGCTCAGCGTGGGAGATAGCACCGTGTCCCGTCCAGCCCTACCTGGTCTCTGCAAACCCTGTGGAGTTTGGCTCATAGTGCCAAAAAGCTGAGAAATGTGGTGGGGCTGAGAGATGGGGTACAGAGATGGATCTCAAACCCAGCGTGGCACCTTGTTGAAGCATACTGACCCAAGAGCTATTTCACAGAGTTCCCTTTGCCAGTAGGAATTTTTTGCTATTTTTCTTGGGGTTTTTTCCTCCTCAGACATCCAGGAGACCCGTGCGGAGACTGAGGTCTTCAGTGCAGGCTTAGGAAACCCGGGTTAGGCACCACAAGTGGAAAAGCTCCAGTTTTGCTGCAGCCAGGTGTACCTCTTGCAGCCCCCTGGTTGCTCATCAGCTCCCAGCCTGCCCTTAAACCTTCCCGTGGTCCTCAAACCCCCCGCCGCCTTCTTAGGGTTTAAGCAACGTGTGCTCTCTTTCCGTGGCCATGCAGCTGGGTTGCAACGCAGGGGTAACCTTCCTGCACAGGGTGCTCTTTCCTCCTGTCCTTGCAAAGCCTCGGGATTTATTTACCTTCCTTTTCACCTTCATTCCTCGTTTCTCATCCTTTTTTTCCCTCCTGTGACTATGGACCAAGGCACCTCTCTGGCTTGCCCCGCTTCCTAATAGCAAGAGCGGCTTTCTCTGTTCAATCCTTGCGTGCAAAAGCCAGTGTTAGGTAATTGCTGAATTGAAGAGAGGCTGTAATTATTTTTGCTTCCAACTACAGGAGCAAGCAGTGTTTGCCAAACTGCTTGGTAACTGCTGACAGCCGCTCTTCGGAGGGTATCCCTGCCCTGCCTACATCCCTCTCTGCCGTCATATGGTCCGTACGTCTTTATTTTAACCGTTAACTGGATCCCTCTTCAAATAGCTGCTCCGTGCTGGCCTGAAGCATCTCTACCACCTTTAATTGATGGTTGCAAACCAAAACGAAGCTCAGTGTTTGAGGTTTTCCCTATCGTTACTCTGGGTAACTTCTGCCAGAGAGCAGGAGGGTACTGCCGGCGATGCCCGATGCTTGGGGAGTGCAGAGTGAAGGACCAGGCTGTGAACCCACTGCCGGGTTAATGGAGCAGCTCTGGTGATTAAGGGCTATAACAGAGGCATTAATCTGGCATGGAGAACACAGCGGGAGCAGATCCACGGTAACTTTATTTTTTTCCTTCCCTCTGCTGCACTGGGACCAGTGTCTAATCTGGGACATCCCCGTGCAAGGTCACAGCCCTTGTCGTGCAGCTGGCTGGTCCCTGTGGGTCTCCTCGGCTTCAGAAGGACCTGGTGGTCCCCTCGGCGGGTGGCACGGGGCATTGGTCAGCACGCGGGTCTCATGGCAAAGAGGGGGTGCAGCAAAACGAGGCGTCGGGGGGTGTTTGGGAGCGGGGCAGGGGCTGGGCAGGAGAGGGTGTCCTTGCTCGTCTGAGATTCATGTGCATTGGCAGGGAGACATGGTAGGTCGAAAGCTTCCATGAGCTGATCATCTGGGAAAAAACCCCAGTTGTTTCCTAACACTCCGTGCCTTTTGTTCAATTCTGTTTCTAAACGAATTAATTGCGGGTGAAAAAATTGCAGTGTTTTATCTAGAAAACTTGAAGTGCTTTGAGGGCTTTGAACCATCTTTTCCTAACTGGCGCGTCTGCAAGAGGTGGTCCCTTGCCCATGGCCACCCCTGCATGGCGACATGCCACTGGAAAATGACACTATGTCAGGAAAACCCCCAAAATACTGGGATCGGCCGTGCCTCTGGCTAGATCTGCATCCTCGTCCCCAGCAGATGTTGGTATTTGCCCATCATGCCGTTGCCAGCAGTTGGGTGAGGGGTCTGCCGTGGTGCCAGCAGGTTCCTCTGCTGCTTTGCTTTTCTTTAAAAGCCAGCGCACCGTGATAAGAGATTCCTCCATCGCTCAGGAGAGCGTGTGTCAGCACAGAGAGGCTTTGAAATACGGGGTTATGCTCCTGAGACGCCGCGACTCACTGCTGTTGCTCACCTTGCTTGTGTTGGGTCCACGTTCATTTCTCCAGCTTCTCAATGCCAAGGATGTCATAAAGCCTTTTCGTATTAATAGGGGGTGAAAAAAACCACAACTTAAATTTTATCATTCCTATATTTTTTTTATATATGTATATTTTTATCTATTCAGCTGTACTTTCAAAGAGGACCATAGGACCTGTCGTGGTTTAACCTCAGTCGGCAACTAAGCACCACGCAGCCGCTCGCTCACTCCCCCCCACCCAGTGGGATGGGGGAGAGAATTGGAAAAGCACAAGTGAGAAAAACTCGTGGGTTGAGATGATAACAGTTTAATAATTGAAATAAAATGATAATGATGATAATATGATAATAATAATAATACACAAAGCAAGTGATGCCCAGTACAATTGCTCACCACCCGCCGACCGATGCCCAGCCAGTCCCCGAGCAGCGGCCCCCCCCCAGCCAGCTTCCCCCAGTTTATGTACTGAGCATGACGTCCCATGGTATGGAATGTCCCTTTGGGCAGTTTGGCTGTGCCCCCTCCCAGCTTCTTGTGCACCCGCAGCCTTCTCAGTCGGTAGAGCATGGGAAGCTGGAAAGTCCTTGGCCAGTGTAAGCACTACCTGGCAACAACTAAAACATCGGTGCCTTATCAATTTTGTTCCCATCCTAAATCCAAAACACAGCCCTGTACCAGCTACTAGGAAGGAAGTTAACTCTATCCCTGCCGAAACCAGGACAGGACCCTATGTCTGTCTTGTAGCATGTGTTTGAATGGAGGAGTTCTTGGGTCTGTGAAACCGCGGCCTCCTGGAGGAGAAGAGCCAAGCTGGGAGGCTGCGAGCTGGCTTGTGCCTCTGAAGGTAGTAGCTGCTAAACTTGGACAGATGGGGAAGCGTTCTTGTGGCATCTGGGTGCTGAGCGCATCCTTACGGAGGACACGGTGAGAGATGAAGTCAGCTCCTATTTTCCCACCGGGTCATCCCACCCCTGCGTTCAGCACCAGCAAAGCTGCCGGAGAAGCAGCGGGACGGCTGCCTGTGCTGAGTGACTCTCGGCGGAGCCGGGCGCCTGAGCTGCGGTCGCAGGTGCTGCCGATGGATGGCAAATCCCCGCAGCTAAGGACACAGCTCGTCCATCTCGATGAGGATGCTCTCCTCCTTGCCCCGGCACACTGGAGGAGAAACGAGCTGTGTCGTTAGCTGCTTGCGCGCCCCAGGCTGAGCGATGCTGGAGCGTCTCCCTTTATAAATGCACTGAAACGGTGTGGTTTGCTGCATGAGGGGAAGGGGTTGGCAGCTCCCCGCGACCGCAGGGACGGAGCCAGCGGCGTCCCCAGGCTGCTGCCAAGGTTTGCTGTGGGACCCCGAATTCAGGAGCAGTCCCACCCTCGCAGACAGTTTTTAAGGCTCTTTGCAAAACCGGACAGGGTGGCACCGCCTCGTTTGCCCAAGCAATTTTGGTCGTTATAAGCTGTGAAACTCCGTGGCACTCTCTGCTCTCAGCTGCTCGGCAGGGAGGGTTCATACCCTCGCGGGCTGCTACCCTGCTTTCCTTGCGATGCGGTTTAAATGGGCAGCCGGAGACACAGTGCACTGTTCAACCTTTGCCTTCTGCAAATTGCTCTGTAACATTTTCAGACAGATGAAAATTAAAAAAAACCAACAAAGGGGAAAGGAAGAGTTACAGTTTTCTGTGTATTACAAATTGAAAAGGAAAAATTAACCATCTGAAAAATGCTGGTAATGATGCGTGCCTTTGGAGGGGATAACTAATGAGTCTCCGAAAGGTCACGGTTTTGCTCATGGTTAACCTTCAGCAAGCCATTACGTAGGCAGGGCATAGGCAGTGCTGGTATCAAATGAATCCACCTCTTCTTTTCTTCCAGGAGCGGGACTGAGACCTGCTGAGGGATAACTGGGCAGCGCAGCGCGGGGAACTCGTCCAGCAAGCTGTGAAGATCAGGTGGCACTTGGCTTCGCCAGCGAAAGGCATACAAGGGGAAGGTGTTGGAACTGCAAACGTGGAAACTTACTGCACTGAAGGCAGCCGATAAAGCGAGTTTTGGTCCGCAAAATGTTTGCTGCCGTCAAGATTTCTGTCTGCTGACGGGGAAGATGGGGTCTGCCCGTACCGAAAGGGGAGCGATGAGAAGGGCGAAGCTTTGCTGACCACTGGGGAGCCTGGCCGGTGCCTGGATGCGCTTCGCTGGTGGGGAAAAAGCTGTCAAAACTTGTGGGCAGGGACGGTCTGGGGCAGCGGAGGGGCCATGGGGCTGCTCTGGGCTCTGCCCCACGGTGGGGCTGGCCAGCTGCCCCAGCACTAAGACGCCGGGGACGTGGGGCCGGGCGTCCAGCTGCACCGCCAGACCCACGCTTCGGCATTGTCTCGGAGACATCAGAGAAGAAGAACAAAAAAGTGGCTGAAAAATGTAGCAGCACTGATCTTTTAGTCTCAAGAAAAATATCCTTTCTGTTTTGCTAGAGATCTCTGGGCTGTGTTTATCCACACTGCTTGGAAAGTCTCTTCTACCCCTTGATTTCTCACCCAGTTTAAAACATTTTATTTGTGTGTGTGCGTGTGTGTGTTCGCATCTATTTTCACTGCATCTGCTTGTCATCTTGAAGTGATGGGCTCAGAGGGAGACCCCCCCGAGCAGCTGTAAGTAATAATGAGGCGCTTGATTTCAAACCACATTTGCCATCTGGAAGCCCTTCGACTCTCCCAGCTTTTCAAGTGACGAAGAGGAAAAAGCCAAAAGAGGACGGAGCCCGCGATGGCAGAGAAGTGCGACTGTATCGCCAGCATGTACGGGTATGACCTGGGCTGTCGCTTCATTAATTTTCGCCCCTTGGGCTTCGGGGCCAATGGGCTGGTGCTGTCAGCCCTCGACAGCAAGAGCTGCCGCAAAGTGGCGGTGAAAAAGATCACCATCAGCGACGCGCGGAGCATGAAGCACGCTTTCCGGGAGATCAAAATCATCCGCCGCCTGGACCACGATAACATCGTGAAGGTGTACGAGGTGTTGGGGCCGAAGGGGACCAACCTGCGCGGGGATTTTTTCAAGTTTAACATGGTGTACATCGTCCAGGAGTACATGGAGACGGACCTGGCGCGGCTGCTGGAGCAGGGGAAGCTTGCCGAGGAGCACGCCAAGCTCTTCATGTACCAGCTGCTGCGGGGGCTGAAGTACATCCACTCGGCCAACGTCCTCCACCGTGATCTCAAGCCGGCCAATATTTTCATCAGCACAGAGGACCTGGTGCTGAAGATCGGCGACTTTGGGCTGGCCAGAATCGTGGATCAGCATTACTCGCACAAGGTAGGCAATGCCAAATTGCCGAGGCCGGTGCTGGCTCGGCAAGCTGCCGGCCGGCACGGGGAGGCGTTGAACGCCTGTAGGGTGAAGCGGTCGGACCGTAGCGGATCTTCTCGGGAGAAACTGGTCCTTGAGCCTGTTTGGGCAGCTGTAAGCCCTGCTGGGGTGGTCGCCGTCCCTGCCCCAAGCCACGACGTGTTTCCCGGGCATAGCCCACGGGTTGAGCTCTGCCAAGCATGCCCCAGGGCTCTCCAGTGCTGCTTCAACAGGAAAGGTTCAAGTGCCATTCAGGTGTTTTTCATCCCTTTATATCACATATATCAAATATATACTCATGTATTTTATTCCATCCCAGCGATGGACTGTGGGGAGGCGTGCGTTTGCTCGCTTTACTTAAATGACTAAGCTCTGTGCTGCTTGCTTTGCTGCTTTTATGAAACACGAGCTGCCATTCATCCCCACAGTGGAAACACGTGGAAGGCGTACCTGGCTCGCCCCCAGCCACTCTGCTTGTCTTTGTCCTCACCTCTGTTTGGTATTGTAAGGTAAGATAAGATAAAAATCTATTTTCTTGAGCTGGATGTTTGTGTGGACAAGTTCAGTGTCCCCCATGGACCCACCGTTGCGCCTGTGCCGAGGTTTAAACGCGCTTTGCATTTACCGGTGGGTTTCTGCCCGGCGCGGCTCTTATTTGGGCACCGTTGCTTTGCTCAGGGAGGCAGGGAAGGGGAGAGGGAAAAGGGTGGCAAAAAGACAATCTCGTGATCCTGAAGGTGAGCCCTGATCTATTCTGGTTTCGAGTCTGGGGTTCGGGGTGAAAGAAAGCCTGGGGAAAAGGAAGAAGGTTGCAAGGGACATTGGGGAGTGAGTGCGGGGTCCTTGTCACTGCTGCCTGCCCCTCCTGTGCTCCCTTCCTCACCGGTTATTTATTACCCAGCTCAGGAAGAGGCTCCCGGCTTTTTAAGTGTGTGTTGTTTGGGCTGGTTTGGTTTTTTTAAAGTCAGGTGCATTCAGAGGCTTTTCCCAAGGGAGGGTAACTCCCAGAGAAAACCCCTGCAAATAAGGCAGCGCTACGTGAACGCAGAAAGTCACTGATTTAAGGAGCATCATCTCGTCGGAGACTGCAGGATCAGGGTAGGAGTCGTCTGTCTGTGTCTGCTGCAGAATTATTGTTATTTCTAAGCAGTTCTCTGTCGCCTTAATAACAGCCAGTGCAGTGGGAAAGAGCTGTCAGGAGGATGGCCAGGGCTGCAGTTTCGTGGTGGGACATAACTTTGCAAGATGCCATTGCACAAACATCCTCCGATTCCTCCCAGGGCTGGGAGGCTGGAGCATCAGTGCAAAAAAACCGGCAGATCCCCACTGTGCAGCGAGACCTGGATACCGCTCCAGAGCAGAGCCGAAAATAGCAGCGCTGTGGTGAGCATTCAGCACCACAAATAATGTCAGCTATTTGTAAATTCTGGCGATGGGGAGGGCTGTGTTTGCCGAAGCCAGGTGACGGGCACTGCAGAGGCAGAGATATGACAGGAGGGCTTGGATGGGACTTGGGTCAGTCCCGCCTTTGATTTCCAGCTCTTCTCAGATGACTCGGAAAAATCAATTCCTTTCCATATTTCTCTTCTGACCTCCACTTTCCTCAAGGGCTCATACAGATTTATAAGCTCCTTGGTCTGTGCTCTCGCAGAAAGCGTCAGCAAGAGGGAGAGGACCAGAGCACCACCGTGTCTGAAGCTGCTGAGCCTCCACCCCGCTGCTGACCAGCGTTGAGCAGAACAAGGATCCTTACGCCCCGAATTTTGGTGCTGCCAGCAGGTGCTAATGCAGAGCTGCCCAAAAGCAGATGAAATCCTGCTCCCTGGGTAAATAATTGCTGAAAAGACCCCGTAGGTCCAAACCTCTGAAGGCAGCGCAGAGCTACAGCTCTAGAATAATACTTTGCTTGCAAGCCTTTGCAGTGAGGAAGGGCTTGGACTTTTTTTCCTCTATGATAGTTTGTATCTGGAATGTGCTTAGACTGATGGCTGGGTTCTGCTAACATGAAAAATTGCAGGTTGTGTGTTGTCATCCATCTGAAAGGTCACAGCTCTTGTGACCCGATGTGTCTCAAATCCCAAACCATCCTGCTGAGTGTTAAAATGGCAAATAATAACTGCGGTAGATTGCGAGCGGAGTTTTAAACACGGTTTAGAAATACATATACCACCTAAATAATAGTTCTTACTTGGCAACGTGTCTTGTTTACATGACTTGCAGCAGGCAACCATTTAATTAGGATAATTTGGTGGGAAAGGGAGAGCTCTCCTACTCCGGGAGATGCCCTGGACCGCAGCGGAGTGCTGGCCTTCACCAGCTTTGAAGCAGAGCAGCTTCGCCTGCGGTTTTCCCACCATTTGGCCGGTGTTCGCTGCTCAGATCCCTTTCTCCATGTGGTAAGAGCAGCGTGGGGGCATCTGTTCGTTTGAAACTTCCCAGTAGTAGATGAGGTGAATTTCAAGCTGCCAAGGTCATGACCGGATCTGGGTCTGTACCTTCACAGGCTGCTTCGACGCGACAGTGCATACCCCTCTCTCTGTCACCCTGTCCCTTCCCTGATGCTCTCAGCATCCAGCCGCGCAGGCTCCTTTCTTTTCCTTCTTACTACTCTTTTCATCCTCGGGAGTCACTAATCCTGCTGTTTATCCCTCTAGAACATCTCCACATTAATCCCTTTTTACCTGGTTGCCGCTGTTTGTGCTCTGAACGCTTTGCTGTGCGACTTGGCGCCCAAACGGAGAGCGGAGGAGCATTGGAGATGAGGATAAGGGACAGCTCCGGCCTCCATGAGGTCCTTATCCTTATGCAAAACAGTCAAAGCTGAGCATTTCCCTTTTCATAAACCACCTCCTTATTGAATGCAAGCATCTCGCCTTCACCATCGGAGCGCTCTGCAGTGCCCCCTCCGTCTGCAGCCTCGTGGTCCTGCCTGCCCCACACCTCGCTGCCTTCCCCCCGTGGTCCAGCCCCGGCCTGCATTTCTTCAGAGGCTGCCTGGGTGTCCGTAGCTGCCCATCTACTTGTCCATCCTCGCTCTTACGCCCTAATAAATATCTTTGGCTCCAAAAGAGAGTCCAGATGTGATCTGCCCCAAGTTTGGGGGGGCAAGGAGGTGTAAAAGTGAGATGCTGTCCTCCCTTGAGCTCGTGGTGGGCAGGAGGGATGGGAGAGCAGGGAGATAGCAAAGTCAAGCATTAAAAATTGGGATAAATACTAATGAATGGCTAGACTTAAAAATAATAAATGTTTTGGAGGGCAGACTCAGCCCCGGCCGTGCATCCCACGTGGCGTGTTGCCCAGCGCTGGTCAGAGAGGAGCCGTTGGGTTGGGTGGTCCTGCCTGAGAAGACAACAGAAATGCCTGTTGTATGGAGATATGGAGACTTGCTGAATCCCTTTACTCGGGTGACAAGACAGCGAAATGGGATGCTCCTTAGCCTGCCCGTGTTGTACGAGATAGATAGATTACCTCGTCTTGGGGCTCTGCCTGGTGCCCCAAAGCGCTTGGGGGCATCTGCATGGGGCTGCCAGGGGACCCTCTCTCCCTTTGCCTATTGGCAACGTTAATTACAGAATTAATTGGCAGAAATTCCACGCTAAGGAGGGGTGCAGCAGCCCTTTTAGGGGGAGTTCTTGTGGTAAATAGTTTCCAGAACATCTTCAAACCTTTGAAGTCCTCCCTTCGTTTTGTACTTGCTAATCAGTGCAAACATAATAGCTTCCAGTTCGTCCAGTAAAATAATAAAATTCCCAGGTGGGTCATCATGAGGAGGCCTTCAAAGGAGATGAGGACGTGGGATGTTGCTCCGCAGTCGCCCTGGAGGGGACCACCCTCCACGTTCAGCCCTCGGGCAGCTGCCCATGGCCCCGTGCAGCCAGCGCCGAGCCTTCCTGCTGTGACCCCGACTCGGTTGTTCTCCTTCTCTGTCCTCTGATGAAGCATGTAATAGTCTGCGGTCCTGAAATAAATGCGCTCTGTCATCCCAAAACGATGAGAACACACGTCACGTTGCTGGAGCCATGCACAACGGCAGTTTTATTATTTTATTATGGAGCAACGTTCCTGCAAACCCGGCGTCTTTCCCAGCCTCTCCTAGAACTGCCCTACCTGTCTTTTAAATATAAGCTTAAAAAACATGCTCTGAAGAGGCAGCAGTCTGCTGCTGCACCGGGATCATTCCGAAAGCTTGGGGTTGTTGTTATTTTGAGTCCCCTCTTGGCACTGCAGCCGCCTGC